AAAAGTATAGCCTGTGTTATAAAAAATTAAGTCCCCATTACATTGTTAACAAACTAAGTTAATCTGTGCATTAAATTTGGGTTACTGAAAACAAGAAATGTAAAAAATTAAAAAAAAAAACAACTTTATTATGTTAACTAACTAGCTGTTTAAGGTTGTATCGGACAGACCAAAGACATCAAAAGATATCACACAGCTAAATATCCAACAACACTCACTATATCTTCAACTGAATTACTCTGATGCCTTGGACCTCACAGGCCTAAATTTCCAGCAGTGTCTAGTGATTTGGTCAGAACAAGACCATTTGGTTTGGCAGGAACAGGATCAAGTGCTAAGTATCTACCCTCTGAAACTCAGGCCCCTTTAAGATCTCAAATTGGACCGACGGACACACACACCACTTTTGAATATGTGTTTTTCATTCCACCCCACCTGGTAAATAAACTATAATAATCCCTTCCTCTTCCTTCACAAGGGGTTTGAGGATTTGTTATTAGCTTGTAACGTATATTTTAAACGGGTAAAGTGAAATGCAAGTGCTAAGTATTATTACTTTTATTCAGATTTCTCGTCCAATAAATTAATTGAAAGCAAAACACTTGCTCAGTACAGCGGTGTTCTGCAATCACACACATTCATAACGAACTCTGGGTAATCTAACACAAGTTATACAATTTTACAGAAGAAATTATTTACACGCGGCCTCAAACACAACAAAGCCTTGTATGGTATAAAACGCAATGACAGTTCATAGCTACCAAAAAAATATTGATTGACAGTCTCTGTCCCAGGCAGAAGACCAAGCACATCAAAGCAACCAACTCCATAGGTGCCCCCATGAGATACTGTTGCATAGGGGTTCTCCCTATCTTTGGGGGGCCCCCCTTCTTTGTACCACAAGTATCACATTTCCTGCACCAGTTTTCTACATCCTGCCCGCATTTCCCTCAACAGAAATTTTCTCTTCGCTTGGCTAAAGTTTTGGCAGCCACAAAATATCCAGCAGTTTTACATTTATGACAAACAGTGAAAAAGGAGGTTCTGAGGTTATCTGATACAACCAGCTGGTTTCTCCCATCTTTCATGCAATCTCTCATCTGTCAACCCCAAGATTCCCCACTGTGACCAGAAAGCTTTTACTGTGGTATTTTGAGGGGATGCTACATTGCATTGGAGCTGATTTGCCAAATGATTTTCTAATCACACACACTTCTAAATCAGGATCCTCTCTTTGGGAAGCTTTTAGTTGCTCTGGGGTCCATTTCTGAAACCCCACATCCTGTGCTCCAGGGCGTGAACCAGGAACCACTGCACTTCTGCAAATGAAGGGAAGAGAGGAGACAGACATTTCTTCCTGAGAACACTCATTCCTTTGAGTAACCAATCCCTTGCTCTCCCGCCTGAGGCAGTGTTTGCCATTAGCTTCCCAAGGAGGCCATCAGCATTACCATGATTGTGCCCACAGCTGTTGTGTGACTATGGAGTCACAGCAGCATGGCAGTTTTTCCAGCCACCTGGCAAGTGGCCCCTTAGGATTCCTGAATCTAAAGTGCCATTGCCAAGATGCACAGTCTATCCTGACCCAGACAGATAAGTGGTGAAAATTTTCCACTAGGAACTCCTGGCAGTGGTTAAATCTATCACATGGTGCAGTAATTTCTCTCTGGAGAATGGAGACTTCTTCTGCAATAAGCCATTACCCTCTCAATGTCTCTGTGTTCTTGTGTCATGACGGTCCCCAAACCGGGAGCATTAGTATCTGTAGGGAGGCTACGGAGCAGTCATGAGAGCCCTTTTCAACTCTAATCACATTCAGCGTGTCCTTTGGAGGACCCTCCTCATCCCACTTTCTGGTCCTGGGTCCCCTTCTCTTCTACCACTCCACCTTAACGCCAAGAAATTTCAATCACAAATTCAAACTACCAACTCACAGATCTACCTTTCTACTCCAGACCTGTCTCCTATCCGAAGGGGGGAAAAAACCACTCTCCCTGGCTCTCTTACATCTCCTTGGGGATGTCTAGTCATTTAGCTCAACATGGCTGAAATAGAGTTCTTTATCTCTTCCCCTCGACTCACTCCCTACTACCTCCTTTCTCAGTCACTGTGGACAATACCACCCCACCTGCCCATCACCCTCCATAGACACACACTTTCACTTCTGCGATAATTCACTGCATTTATTTGCTTTCAATAACACAGGTAAATTTTGCAAAAGCATTGGCTAGAACTGCACATGGATTTCCAGTGTAATACTGTCATATGTTGTGCTGCTCTTCTATAGTATTTCAATGATCTCAAAACTCTTTGCAAACATTAATGCTTACAGGTAGGCATTCTACCCATTATACAGCTGGGTAAGCAGAGGTAGATAGAGCTTAATTGACCTTCCCAAAGTTCCTTAATGAGTCAGCAATCAAAACGGGGGGGGGGGGGAGTGGAGGATCCTGGCCAATGAAGTGAGAGTTTTGCAATCAACACCGATGGAGATGGGACTGCATGAGGTGATCCTGACTCTCATTCCCTGGCTTATAAACTTTTAATATTATTATACACCTATTATTATTATTATTCTTCAGAGCACGCTGCAAGCTAACACTAGATATATTCTCACCCACCCTTACAAATCCTAGGCTAGAAGCAAATGGGAACCTCTATCCAGCTACGCAGTGCCTAGAAGTTACATTAGCATCTATACAGATTTATCAAGGTTACCGATAATCAACAGCAGATAGCTAAACCTTAACAGCTGGTGTTTTCCTGGCTAACACACTAGAGTAGAGGTCACAGAAGCGTTCAAATCATAAATGCACATTCACAGCAAATGAGATTGGGGAAAATAAAAAAAATAAAAAAAATCAGAGATAATCACCCGCCTAAAGCATCAGCATGTTCCTTTCATACAAAATTATTTAGCTGAACACAAAGTTAGGTCAGATCACACCTTGACTACAAACAGAATTTTTTGCAATCCTACCAAGTACTTTCCAATCACATGCAGAGTATACAGAGCTTACTGTAGTGGAAACAGGGCTGGTCTCACTGGGTCAAAATGTAACCCCTAACCCCAGGCACAAGAAGCCACAGGAGGGATAGATAGACAGTCATGCAGCTTCTGCTGCTCCAGTCAGTCTGGCGTGAGCCAATACAGTGAAGCAGTTGGCTTCACCAGAGAGTTAGTCTGCTCTTTGTGCATTGTCAGGGAACAAGAAGCGTAGGGTCAGGAGAGAGAACAGGAAATTGCTTTTTTGTCAGTTTTCATTTTATCACTCCAGAGATTACGGTTCAAAAGTGGAATGTACACTTGTTGCCCACAGTCACCATCAGACCAGCCCTGTTTACCCATCATAAATATTTACACACAAGCCACTAAACTCAACATTTGCAGATAAGTGGGCTCAGTAGTTCTTATTTCTATACGGATGAGAGCTGCTCAGCAGTGGCCGTAACTGCACTGTTTTCTCGAACACGTCTAAAAATATGTAATGTATCAGTGAGAAACTTTATTGGGTCTAGATTTCCACTTGGCTCCATGCGGTGTCTTTGACACGGATTAGTTTCGCCGGGATCTCATGTAGGCATAAAGCCATGAGCTTCAAATATACAGGACAGTCACAGTCTGAAGATAAACAGCAACAACAACAAAAGAGCTACACACAACCACAGAAATAAGAACTATGTATAAATATTAAAGGACAAAATAAAGGGCCGGCTATTTACATGCACAACGAAACGATGCATCTTGCATCACAAGACATGCTGCCAAGTGAACTGCATTTCCCTATGTTCCGCTTCCAGTTTCAAAATCACTTCAGTATCTTTAATAGACCTTAAAAAAACCTCCCTGGGGTCCCAACAAGAATGTCACAGGCAGCCATTTGGAAGAGAAAACTGGGTGGAAAAGGGAGGGGACCAGCACTTGTTGGTTGAAGGCACAGAAGTGACAAGATCACAAGGGTAGGAGCAGAAGAATCGATTTACCAAAGCAACTTTCTAGAGTACCATAGAGCGCAGCTCAAATTAAAGGAAAGCCTACAGCACGCCGGGTAGAGGAAGCTCCATTGTCCCCTGAAAAATGTCCTAGTTCAAAGCAGCTTTCAACTGTAATTTTGATTTTACACAACAGCCGCTCAGTTATACAGAGAGACACACACACCTGCCTAAAATAAGCATTCCTCAGTTCATTTGCTCCCACAATTCACAATTATCTGCTCTGGATTCTGAGACTATTAATAGTTGCGTGTGGTTTCTCCTCTCCCTCAAACTCCTTCCCCACCCCGCTTCCCAGCTCATATAGATTTCAGCTGGGGTGTGGAAGGGAAAGCAAAGGCCTTTTCCTCTAGGATGCTGTATGGACAAGTTCCACTCTGTGTGTGCAGATGCCAAGCCTTTCTCCCCAATTAATGCACACTGCCAATTAGCAAGGGCTATAACCAACTCCTCTAGCCTTCCCCCCCTCCCCCCCAGCCTTTCATTATGGAGCATTTGGGGTGGGGAGGAAGATCAATTACATCGACCTTGGGGGGGGGGAATAGTTCTCTCTCTCCTAGAGAGGTACTTTTTTTCCCCAATCCTTCCTCCTTCTAAAGCAGGAGTTAGACAAGCAGTTGCTTAGCAGATCACCCCCGAGATCTAGTTGCAGGGGCTCCCAGTCTAGACGAGATGGGGCTGACTGGGGGTTCTGCCACCCCGGGACAGACATATCGTGTTTTAGAAAGAGCGGTCAGACTACAAGCCAAGATCTGGGGCAGGAAGGGCTGCCCGGGAAAAGTCTGAATTGCCCTGATCGCTTTGCAGACACACGCCAATCTTTTGGGGATTGTTTGGCTGGGTGGGTTGTTTGTTTTTTAAAGGAACGAATGTATTTAAAGTGACTTTTACATTCTGGCATGCAAAGCCCCCCTCCCCCTTAATCACACACCAGCCAAGAGGGATCCCTCCCTCCCTCCTCTTGTGCTTGTTTTGGAGAAAGTAAAAAACCTTCTCCCCCCCCTTACCTAGTGCCTTTGCTAATCGCTTCTTCTTTCAAATCTTCCTCCTCCTTCTCTCCTTGTATAACGAGGATCCGTAAAGTAAGAAGGGGGGGGGGGAGTTTGGGAAGGAAATGAGCAAGTGTGTTTGGATGGGGAGGAAGAGAAAAAACAATCCAAATATCCCCTGGATCAATTGCTGGAGGAGGAGCGCGCGGCTCGGTCTCGCTCCCCTTCCATCTGCCGCTGTGTTTATAAATCCAGAGCCGGGGGGGGGGGGGTCTGTTTTCCCCGGAAACCTCCCCTCTCCTCGGCTCTCCTCTCTCCCTTTCTAAGATGTCTGTCTGCGGCGGCGGCGCTCTGCTCCGGAGCCCTTGCAAAAGAGCAAGTTTGCGAGCCGGCTCTGGCGGCGGCTCCTGCAGGCTGCCTGCTCCTCCCCTGCGAGCCGGGGTGGGGAGGGACCGGGGGCAGAGATCCCCAAAGCTTCCCAGCAGCCCGGCTTGCACCAAACAAGCCGCGTTGCTTGCAACAGTCGAGTCCCCGGGCTTCTTAAAGGGGCCGGTGCCAGAGACGGCGCTGGGTCCATTCACACGCTGCCACTTTCCCTTTCTGCAGGCGGGCGGCCGGGCCGCCTTTCCCTTTAGCGGGAGGATTTTTTTTTTTTTTGCTCTACAACGCAATTCGTTGTTGCAGAGCGGGAGGCGACGCTGGGCATTGCAGACAGCCGGGCATGGCCCGTGCTCCCTACTGACCTGCAATATTCACCGGGCTGTTTACAAGGCTGAAATGAGACATTGCAAGCGGTAAATCTGGGAGCCAATTCTGCTAAACAAAAAAGAAATTAAAAAAAAAAATCTGGAGGATATCATGAGAACTTCATTTGGGGCCCCAGTCCTGGGTTTTTACTCTTTATTCTGGCACCCAACCCTTAAGAGTTGGGCTCCTGTGAAAAAAGCCTATACACCAAGTCCTGATCAAAACCTAGAACTTGAAGAGCAAGTGACCAACACTGATTGATTACAAGGTGGTATAGGCAATGCTAGGGCCCTGACAAGCATACCTGTGGTTAACGTTACTCTTGCATTGCCAACTCTTCTGATTTTATTGCATGGCTCATGATATTTGGTGTTTTTCTTAAAGGCCCAGCTCCTGGAGTCAAATGATTTCATAAGATTCTTAACTTTCTTTTTTTAAGTAAGTTTCTAGCCCGCACAGTTGCAGAGAAAAACCTTGGAAATGTGAATCCAGTGCATGCTAAAAACTGGAAGCCAGAGAACCATTTTTTTTTTTAGAAACCCCTTTTTATTAATCAAATAATATTAATTAATAACACCTACCTTTTATATAGCACTTTTCATGAGTAGCTCTCAACCCTTTACAAAGGTCAGTGAAAGTCAGTCATGATTTTTGGAGGCATGACATGACTTTTGAATGCTTGTGGTTGACAACACTGCTTTACACACAACGGGGCTACTTGCAAGGCATAAATAACTCACAGGCATAAATACTGGCAGAATCGGGCCCATAGTTGTAATAATATTTCCAGATGGTCTGTGGTTCTGCAAGCTTTCTCCGCAAAGAAAACCCCATTTATTTCAGTGAGAACTGAGGCTTCTAATTAACATGAAAAAATCAATTCCAACATGTCCAAGTAAAACTTTCTCATGTGTTTTAAGAAACTAACAGTTCACACAAGGTGTTAAAGGAGCATTTCAAAAAGTTCTGTCTGATTGCAGTTTATTTAGTTTGACAATTTTTCCTATTTGGTCATTTCTTTTTAGCAGGCACAAAACCTTTCTGTTTAAAGATTCGTCACAGATTATGCTGGGGGGAGGAGAGTGAAGGGGGAATGCAAAAGAAGTCTTAACTATTGGACTGGTTACATTGCTTTATAGTATCCAAACACACCTCTGTCAGATTGTTTTACAACAGTTCAGCACATCTGCAGGGAGAACTGAAAATCACCGCAGAATTTGCAGGCAAAAAAAGAAAGTCATGCTTCTGTTTAAATAGCTGTGTAATGGGCAGGGGGCATAAACTTACCTACCCCAGGAAATTCAAAGTTATTGTCACCATCCTCGTGAAGTTGTGAGGGTGGGGGGAGGAAATTTTAGGACTTGATTTTCACAGGTGTTGAGCACCCATAACTCCATCTGAAGTCAATGGGAAATGCCGGGTCTCAGCACCACTGTACAGAATATAATGAGACAAATTCTGCCCTGGAATACACGCAGTTATCGTCCATTGACTTCAGGGGTGGCTAACAATCAATAATAATAATGCCTAGCTCTTTACAGCATTTTCCGTCAGTAGATCTCAAAGCACTTTACCAAGAAGGTCAGTATCAATATCCCCATTTTATAGACAGGAAAGCTGAGGCACAAAGCGGCAAAGTGACTTCCCCAAGGTCCCTCAGAAAGGCCAGAACAGGGCCCCTGTGTCTTGAATCAGAATTTCCTGGTTTGGCTGGTTTGTGCCCCAAACTGGACATTTTGGAAAATCCGGGCAGTTTAACAAAAAGAGAAATACAGAACATTCCAGAGTGAGGAAAAAAGCCCACTTCTGAATCCTCTCTTCAGTTCATTCCCACCAACTGGAATTAATCCATTCCCCCTGCCATCTTCCAGTTTTTCCACCATTATTTCATTTGCTGGTGCTCCCCTCGCCCCCATCTTCCCTAACTTTTGGCCCCGATCCTGCAATCCACAAGGAGTTCATAGCAGGAGCAGGGCTTGCGTGTGTTCCTCTGCAGCAGGCCAGCACAATCAGACATGACCCATCATCATTTGTGCCAACATACTGTGGACCTCTAGAACTAAAAGCACGAGTCTCCATAGCTTGAGTTAAACCAGGGGTGGGCAAACTTTTTGCCCCGAGGGCCACATCGGGGTTCTGAAACTATATGGAGGGCCGGGTAGGGATGGCTGTGCCTCCCCAAACAGCCTGGCCCCCTCCCCCTATCTGCCCCCTTCCACTTCTCACCCCCTGACTACCACCCTCAGAACCCCCAACCCATCCTACCCCCTTGCTCCTTGTCCCCTTACCACCCCCTCCCGGGACCCCCCACCCCTAACCATCCCCTATCCAACCCCCCCGCTCCCTGTCCCCTGACTGCCCCGACCACTATCTACACCCCCACCCCCTGACAGGCACCCCGGGACTCCCATGCCTATCCAACCCCCTCTGCTCCCTGTCCCCTGGGACCCCCTGCCCCTTATCCAAGCCCCCCACTTCCCATCCCCTTACCATGCCGCTCAGAGCCCCAGGACTGGCAGCCACGCCGCACCGCCCAGCCGGAGCCAGCCACGCCGCCGCACAGTCTAGAGCACGGGGGCCGGCCGGCGGCTCTCACAGCCGTACTGCCCGGCAGGAGCTCGCAGCCCCATCGCCCAGAGCGCTGGCAGCACGGTGAGCTGAGGCTGCGGGGGCGGGGGGACAGCAGGGGAGGGGCTGGGGGCTGGCCTCCCCAGCCAGGAGCTCAAGGGCCGGGCAGAACGATTCCACGGGCTGGATGTGGCCCGCGGGCTGCAGTCTGCTCACCTCTCGGAGTCAAACAGACAAGGCTCTAGAGCTTGGGGATGTACCAGACTCACAGTCTCTGTGGACCAAGCCCAGAGGAGGGTGGCTAACACACCCTGACCAGTAAGTTACTTACAGCAGCTGGTGTAGCATGCGGCCTCTTAATACCAGGCCTGTGGTTTCCTGCAATATTAGCTACCACTGAGCACACGCGGCTCTTAACAAACAAATTAAACTACTGTGCCATCGTGGTCATTCATTATTTCAAATGTACATGTCTCTGCCATTTTTATGGCCCTGGCCCTGCAATGATCTCCGCACGGTGCAAGCTGGGAGAGCTCACAACAAGATCTGGGCCTAAGTCTTCTCTTCGGAGTTGACCGGAGTAAGGATAGGAGGATTGAACTAATCGTTAACAGACTATTGGCCAGCTCAAGCGGACTTTTGTGAACTCTTTGCCGTTCTATCTTTAATAAACTCAAACTCCTTTGCTGAAATATTTAAAGCAGCTCTTTTCCCTTGCAAGAAATATAGGGGTTGACAGGAGTGTGGCCAGGGGAGTTTTCCTACCCATTTTAATGAAAGACAGAGCAAGCCCATAATGTGTTAACTACTCTTTATATAGTTTTTCCGTGCTACACTAGCAGCGTCTTCCGCTAACTTTACTTGGATCCTCATGTCAGTGAGGCCCCATCCTCCAATGCGTTTTACATGGGCATAGGGGTCTGCCTGCATAGAACTCATTACAGGATTGGGACCTCAGAGGGACTCTCTCCCTGGCTTCTTGAGTAATAATAATAATAATACCTAGCTCTTTTCATCAGTAGATCTCAAAGTGCTTTACAAGGGAGGTCAGTCTCATTACCTCCATTTTGCAGAATGGGAAACAGAGAGGCACAGGCCAGCGGCAGAGCTGAGATAAGAACCCAAGTCCCTGTCCACTAGCAATGCTGCCTCACTCGTAGAGTTGAACGGGAAGCGATCACCAGGCAGAAATGCGAGGGGTCAGCAGCCTCTCCCTTAGGACTCAAGAGTTAAACTTTGGAGCCTGCTCCCAAAGGTCAGTTGGGACCAGATTCTCAGCTGGTGTAAATTGGCATAGCTCCATTGTAGTCAATTGATTTTCACCAGCTGAGGATCTGTGCCCCCTTACCCCCCATGTCCTATCTTCTTGTCCCATGTCTGTCTGAGGGCCGGCAGTTCGCTATTGCAATTTGTAAAGTTTAAAGCAAGGTCAGGTGGCCCTTGCAAACCACCGGTTCCTTCCATTCCACTTAGGCATGCAGCAGGCAATGCCATCTGAGTGGCTGAGATATTGGCATGCTGCATATTCAGCAGCAGTAATTGGATTTCCGCAGAAGCACCGGGGTTTATTTATCTGTGTTATTTCTGCTTCTTTCAAGTAGCTTTTGCTGCAGGAAACAACCTGCTTGGGGGGGAGGGGGGGGAAATGAGCTACAACCTGTTTGGAGTATTCCTTCCCCCACTGCCCCGGCAGGCACCGGGTAGAATTGTAACAAAGGAGGGGCACTTTCCACTCCTCAGGAGCAGTCTCCTCACCTTTCTTTACAAGATTAGGCAACACTTTATTTGACTTGCCTCAGTAAATTCGAACCCAGAGTAAAAAGCAAAGCTGGAAAGAGGAGCTGGTCCTGGGATCTGGATCAGATCCAGATCGACATTCATTTCAAGGCATGATCTGGTGGGGATTTAGGTTTGACAGTGCTGGGGTCAGGCGGAAATCTGGCAAGATCAGACATTTGAGAGATTTCATCATCTTAGACCAAAATTGAATGTAAATTTGATGGGGGTCTCTCATCGTCTGTGTGTGTGTTTATCTGGAACACTCCTGCAAATCTTATGTGACTGTCCAGCTACCAAATCCACAGTCCACCATCACAAATCGTATTTAGCTGTAACAGTGGGTCCAAAAGCACCATGGGATAAACTCCGCAGTTCTCACTTACACCAACTAAGAAGATTTGGCCTGTGCTAACTTGCATAGCTGTGTAAAGAACAAAGTTCAAGGGCTTCCCCTTGCC